GGGAAGGAAAGGAAAGGAAAGGAAAAAGGAAAGGAAAGGAAAGGAAAGGAAAAAGGAAAGGAAAAAGGAAAGGAAAGGAAAGGAAAAGATGGCAGAAATGGCTAACCTGGATGGGAACAAAGAATAAAGTTGTAGAACGCGCCTTTTCACTTTATTTTAAGCAACAAACCAAGTTTGCCACCAAACGTTATTCAGGAAGCCTTTCAGCCACCCGTTCATTCCGGAGCTCGTTTCAAGCTCTGACAGGTGATTGTTCACCTTCCACGTCAGAATTGGCTACGGTGTCCACTCGGGAGAGGGGAAAAATAAAATACCCTGACAAACCGCGGGTCTGTTTCCTTCGTTGGACAGGCCGTCTGAATTAGCGGCCGTTTTAGCGCGGCCCTCCATCTTCTGGCTTTCGTCTCTGAGCTGAGGGAGGACCCTTCATACCAATTGGGGCAGCCGAGGCAATGCCTTGTGGATAACCCAACTCACAAATAAGCGGTCGGAAGTGGCCGAATCAAGACGCACGCCACGCTAGAGCAACAACCGCCGTTGTGTCATGTTTTAATTCCAGGCCGCACCGCAAAACACGCAACCACAATCGGCCCGAGTACAATTTTAAAAAAGGGCCATTTATTGCCTTTCTGAGTTATGACAAACTCGGCCCTTGAAATGCGCAAAGATAATCCTCAAAAGAGATTCTATCAGAATTGGGCATTTCCCTGATGATATACGAAGGGATTTATGACATCCTGCCAAATAAGACTTTTAGAATCCTCTTTCCCACAACCAAATATCCCCCAGAATTCCATGTTCATGAAGGAAATCCAGCTGGTTGGAAGCCTCACCAACCACAGGACAAGCAGTTTGGACAAGAAAATGGAACTCAATCTCATAGTGGCCTCCGATTTGGAGAAAACATTGATTTGTTGTAGGTTCTGAGAACATCTTTTAAAAATTTGTTTATAAGCTATATGATCATCATCATCTCTAAAAACGCTGAAGGTTTTCCATTCTGAGCAACCTGCCTCCCCCTCCTCTCTTTTCTCTTTTTAGTGGTACTCACAGCAACTGCTCCAGCCGTAGGACATGCTAATTAGATCATTAAATATCAGTCTCGGTTCTAAAGCTTCCAGGGCAAAGTTATTATTTTTAACAGGTAATATATTTGCTCAATTTAATATTAAATTACGTGATTGCTTTCATTTAATTAAAACAAAACCTTTTGTCCTGGGTTAGGAGGGAAAGCTTCAATGAGAGAACTTGGTTACACGTCTCCGTTCTCAACTGTTCATGGAAAAATCAGACGCAAATTCAGAAATAAATAAGCATGCCATCATGGAGTGGATCGACCCGTAAGCGGCAAAGTGAAACACAGGCACAGAGAAATGTTAGAACAAACAATAAGAGATGGTTTGAAGGCTAAAATCCATATTTCCAGGTTTGGAACATCTAGCAAGTTAAGAAACCAAATTTCATTAGTTTTTCCCACAAGACAGAAAAAGCATCACATCCTGGATTTCTCCACCAAGAAGACTTACGTTGGTAAGAAGCTTCACGTGTTTTTGAAGATTTTTAACCATTGCTTCTTGCTGCTCACACCTCTTATTTTCTTCCAGGAGCTGGCTTTGAACCTTTAAGAACTTTTCTTGCAGTTGTTTCCGTGCGTTCTCCAACAGCCGGGCTCTAAAGAAAGAAAGAAGATGGAAATTGAAGATGGAAAAGTAAGAGTCATTTTTTTTTTCTGAAAAGCATTCAGAAGTGGGAAATGGTTGCTATTTGTTCCCCAAATCCAAAGTCTTCCTTGCTTGCTCCGTCGGGATATATAGTTAGTGGTTGATCCTCACAGATGGTTGTTAAAATATCTGCATTTCAATTTTTGACATTAGGTGTTGGACCTAATGGTTCTAAGGTTGAAACGTTGAGCCTGAATTTGTACATCAAGGGATGCACGAGCTCTGTAGATGCCATCTGCTCAATAAAATAAACAAAAGAGGTCGTCTTGAAACACCACACAAAAATTACCTTTATAGCAAGGTGAATGGCTTACATGGATCCCTTAACACAAACACAGATACGTATACCTGAAAAACTGTCCTTTCACTTGCCAAGTTTCTCTCTCTCCCCCCCCCCCCCCCCCCCCCCCAGATCTCTAAAATCTCTCTCCCTGCTAGGAGTCCATCCCATCCTTTCCCCCCTCTGCTAACTGTCCCTACAAGCATCTTAAATCTTTCAATGAATTAAAGGGCTCTATGCAAGCAGCGGCTCAATTTGAAGCCATTCATACACCAATTTAACAGTCTGTAAAATAGATCCTTTCCACTGTTGCAGTCAGGTGGGGAAGCTAATCGCGAAGGCTATAAATCTACTGTGAAAAATGACTAATTCAATAACCACAACAGTACCGGGCCTCTGTTGTCGTCCCCTCTTCTCCACCGTTTTAATTAATTAGTTACACGGGGAATGGAACCTTTGCCACCGAGTAGCATGTAAGGGTTATGTTAGAGGCTGTTATGAAAGGCAAGATTTCGGGCGCGTCTTGGAAAAAGGAGGGAATCTTCAACTTTCCCTCTTCAACTTTCCTTGCAAAGATTTCAGAACACAGATGAAAGAACCCAATTTTATGCATGATTATTCCTGGATAAACTAGCTGGGAATGACACCACTGAGCAAGGAGAGAGGAGAGGAGAGGAGAGAGAGAAAGAGCGTCTGCGGTAGACGCAAAAGTGGATTTGCTGGAAATTTTCGACCTGACGCTGAAACGGATTAGTTGAGGATCCTGAACTGACAGCAGCCCCAACGCCGAAGCAGGTCCCACTAGAAGTCCTCCTGGGATTTTGCCATTCCGCCTAAAAGTTTTAGGATTGCTTGCTGTTCTTTTTTTTTTTTTTTTGCAAAAATGTGGATCTTTAAAACTTGTCGTGGCCCACCAGTGGAGGTGGTGGCAGACTGGACACTGAGGAGGTTGGTGAGGAACATGGGCCAGTCCTGGAGTCTGGGGAAGACTCTTGACGAAGGCTCTGCGTCGGAGGCAGAGATGGGGCCTCCAACAGTTATCAGCTGCCTTCGGAGTTGGAGATCAGTGAGGAAGAAGAATAGCTGGAGCCTGTTCCCAGTGTGCGCATGCACAGAGCTGCCAGGAGAAGGGAACAGCTAAGGAACAAGGGTCGACTCGGGAGTAAGGGCACAGGTGGACGGTGAATGGCCCCTCCCAGAGGGAATAAAGAGGAGTGAAAGGGGAGTGGGATTTGCAGGAGACAATTAGTTCAATTCATTTAGGTGAAGATCTGTTCCTGACTCCTTGCCAAGTATTGTCTGCTACAGCATGGCGTTTGGAAGGTATCGGCCTGGCAGCTCTCCAAGACTGATAAAGGTCTGTAGTTGTGATATTTCTTGGAAGACTGTTGGCCGGGACTTTGCTGGAGGGGAATTCCCTTTAACCAAAATAAAAGGGGTTTTATTGGGATGAGGAGTCGGCTTCATGATCTTGGGAAGCCTCAGGTCAGAACAAAACTGACATCTAAACACAATACAATACAGGTAACCCTTGACTTACAACAGTTTGTTTGCTGGCTTTTCAAAGTTACAATGGCACTGTGGAAAAACAGTGACTTATGACCGTTTTTCACATTTACTACCATTGCAGCATCCCCGTGGTCACGTGATTGAAATTCGGACGCTTGACACACGACTCGCATTTATGATGGATGCAATGTCCCAGGATCACACAATCCCCTTTTGTGACCTTCTGACAAGCAAGGTCCATGAGGAAGCCGGATTCACTTAACAACCATGTGACTAACTTAACAGCTGCAGTGATTCATGTTTGTTAGTGTCTCAATAAGTCTTGGTCAGAACAAACCTCTTGCTGGAAAGAAAGCTGAGCTGGAAAGCTACGGGATGTAGGGGGTAAGATAAGGAACGTTCTCACTTTTTATTATTTATTTATTAAATTTATTGTGTCACCCTTCTCCTTTTGGAGCGACTCTGGACAGCTCGCAACGTCATAAAAGCAAATACAACGAGTTAAAAAACATCGGACGTTGAAATAAACAGAGATTAAATAAGTTTAAAAACAACGGGACGGAGGTGAGAAACTTGTTCTTTTGATAAAATAATCTTCTGCAAATAGCTAAGCCCTCCGCAGCAACTCTTTTAGAAAGGGCCAACACCTTCGTTGCAGGAATTTTGGTCTTCGGTCCCATAATGTGGACTAAAAGCTCCCCAAAATGATGGAGAATCCAGAATTCTGTACTCTTTGATTCAACCATTAGAGCGTTGTATATAAAAGCTCAAACCAGGATGTCAACAGCTACAAAAGAAACCTATTTATTGGCTGGATAAATGTCCCACTCATAAAAGGCCACACAATCCAAACGCTTTTCAATTGGTTTTTGTTTTTTTGTTTTTTCAAAGCTCATAAAAAATTAAACCCGACATCTGATAGCTCGCTTGAACCTTGGCCTTGGTGGCATTTTCAAAAGTCTTTGCAAGTTCAAAGTATATTTTGCTGGCCTTAAAAAAGAGGTGGGGGGGAACCATTCCTATTTATCGCCTCAATAATGTCCTTGGATGCTGTAAATCTAACAATTTGAATCAAGGGGAAGAAACTTTGGGTTTTTAAGTCGCTGGGAAATGTCTTGCAGTCCCTTTTTATTCTTCAGAATAATTTCGATGATAAAACTCCATTTAAAAAAAAAATGTTGTTAGCCTTGCCAAGTACGAGAGAACACAATGAACACAGACACACTAAGATGCATTTTAATAGCTTCTTTCTCAAAAAAACTGCTCCGGGATATTCAAAATTTCATTTATCTTCGACCAGGATTTCTTTTAGGAAGTAATTCAAGCCCCCTGAAGATAGGGGAGAGCATTTGATTTAAAAAAAGGCTGCTCTGCTTTAACTACGTGGTCTGAAGATGACAAGAAACCTTGGGTGCGGTATTTAAGGGGACAGAGACGAGGGGTTCTCCTACTGGGACGCAGCTTCATCAACATGCCAAGGAAGATAAGCAAACTCTCCCAAAATGATAGTCAAGACAAGAAGAACATCCAGTGAAGTCAGCCGCATGAGATGCTGTCAAATGAAACTAAGCCACAGGGGTGGAGGAGACATGGAAGTCCCATTTCCTGGTCCATGCACAAGTGTCAAGTTTTTTCCAAACCAAGAGACCTGGAAGATGGTTCCTAAAATAGGTGGTCTTGGAAATGGAAGAGATGGAGAGCCTCTCATTCAGGCTACCTGATTACGGTAGGTCAGATCTTAGGACAGGAGGAGGAGGAGGAGGGGGGGGAGGGAGGGATGGAGGAGGAGGAGAGAGGAAGAGGAGGAGGAGCGAGGAAGAGGAGAGAGAGGAGGAGAAGGAGGACTGTGGGGTCCTTGGTGGTCCTCTGAGATTGGTTGGTTTCTTGCAGACGTTTCATGACCCAACTAAGTAACATCATCAGTGCTAGAAGGGAGTGGGTATTTGCAGAAAGGAGGAGAAATGGGAAGAGGAGAAAATGCTGGTTCCCCCAAGTTGTAGCAGGAGCTGCTTGCCTGCAGCTGGCTATTTCAACCATCTAAATTCCGATTCTAAATACTTCAGAACGCAATTACGCTTTTGCTTTAAAAAAAAAAAAAAGACCCAGAACTCAAAACAACTTAAATAAAATTGAGAATGAAGAAAGAAAATAAATAACAAGGATTGAAATAATTATTAATCAAAAGAAAGTCCAGGACATGGACTAGTGGAGCTATCAGCCATCTCTACCCCGGTAATTTCTTCTCCATGTTGCTTCTGATGAGTTTTATATTCCTTACATTTCATCAATTTGAATCACCAAATGCAATTTGCATCCGAAAATAAACAGAGAGAGAGAACGGTAAATGCTCTCATTTGACCTTGAAGTCAGAGAGAAGAAATCCTATCCTCCTCAATTTCAACTCCGCCCGAGCTATAATGAATAATCAAATTTGCCACATCACATCTCAACCTGTAATCGTATTTTCCTTACTCCAAAAATGAGTGTTGTAGCCTGGGCACAAGAAGCCAACCTCTCTTCACATTGATGCCTCCGAATGCGGTAGATGTAAGTTTCACTTCATGTGTTGGGAACAACCCCAAAATAAACCCTGGTGACAAAATAGTCTGTTTACCCTGAAATCATTCTGTCACTCCTGCTAGTATCCACGCATTCCTTAGAAAACAAAGGTTGTAGTATCTAGGAAGGGTTAGGTCACGGGTGTTGGCAACCTGCGGCTCTAGAGCTCTTGGGGCCCTCTGCTGTGGCTCCCTATTGGGTGATCCCACCACTGGCTGGCCCCGCCCCTCACCCTCCCCTCCCAGTCACTCCTCGCCATGCCGGAGAAGGTAAAACACAAGAAACAGAAATGAGAGGGAGGGAGGGAAACCCACTTCCCATAGAAAACACCGGGAGCCACAAAACCTGGGTAGGCGTGGTCGTGGGTGGTGGTCACGTGACTGGGTGGGAGTGACGTTGAGTTGGCCATGCCCACCCAAGTTTTGTGGCTCCTGATGTTTTCTTTTCTGTGGGAAACGGGTACAGATGGCTCTTCGTGTCAGGGCCCCAACAAATCCACCCCCATTCAAATCGTAAGTCTCTAGCCGCATCTCTCAGAGTTAAAAAAAAAATTGATTTATTAGGCGTGGCCATGTTGGCATTAGCTGGATGCAGCTGACACT